GGTTATATTTTTTTTTTTTTTTATTGTTTGTTATTTGTTTTTTTTTTTTTTTTTTGAGGATGTATGGTTGAAAATGAAGGAAAATTTTTCGATTTACGGGTAATATTATTTTATGAAAGACTGTGTGGTTGAAAATAAGATAGAGAAGAAAAAATGAGAATGAGAAAGGGGGCCAAACAGAGACTTTATTTAGGCGTTAGAAAATCATAGGCAATTAGTTCATGTATATAACGTCACTCTGCAAACTGCTTCAACAATTTTGTACACATGTCTAACGCTTGAGTGTCATGTATATGCATGATGGATCCTAGATGGGAAGACTTTTAAGAAGCCCCGCCGTCCCTATGAGAAGGAACGACNACGTCTAACGCTTGAGTGTCATGTATATGCATGATGGATCCTAGATGGTAAGACTTTTAAGATGCCTCGCCGTCCCTATGTGAAGGAACGACTGGATGCTGAGTTGAAGTTGGTTGGAGAGTATGGGCTGAGGTGCAAGAGGGAGCTTTGGAGGGTTCAATATGCTTTGAGCCGCATCAGAAATGCTGCAAGAAACCTTCTTACTTTGGATGAGAAGGACCCGCGTCGTATTTTTGAGGGTGAAGCCCTTCTGCGGAGGATGAACAGATATGGACTGCTGGATGAGAGCCAAAACAAGCTTGATTATGTCTTAGCCCTCACGGTGGAGAACTTCCTTGAACGCCGCCTCCAAACACTTGTGTTTAAGGCAGGTATGGCCAAGTCAATTCACCATGCCAGAGTGCTCATCAGGCAAAGGCATATCAGGTATTCATATTATTTAGTTTTAGTAAATCATAATGGAGTTTATTTGTTTGTTATCTTAATTTATGTATTATGTTTATTTGAGAGACAAAGATTAGAAACTATCATGATTGATTGACAATTTGAATGTTTGAAGGTCATATTTGTATTGCATGGTTGTAGAATAAAATATCATACATCCAACTAAAATTTTGCCTTGGGGGAAAGTTAAACTTATTAGGTTGTCTCTCGTTCTTACAAAACTCTTTTCTACATATTCATTTTTAATTACATATATACACAATAAAATATTCTACACGTAAACTCAAGATTTTTCCCTACTTTTTAATCACATTTTCCAAAAATTCACTGTTCAAAACAATATTTTTTTAAAAAAATGGCCACCAAACAAGGGTTTACTTGGCCCTTCTTTTTTGGGGGGCTGTTGGGGATCAGAAATTGGGTTTTCTTTTTTTTCTTTTCCTGCACTCTTACGCCACGGAAATCAGCAAAAATGTAGAAATTCACTTCTTTGGCTTTGCATACAGTGCATGTGTAATTATTGACTAGTTGATATTATGAGCCAACTAGTGCCAGTGTACTGTGATGGAGAAGAAATGAGAATTTCTTGATAGATATTTGTAAATCTGAAGACCCCTTGTGTTACCGGGTTCTTGTACTGTCCTTAAATGGACCAGGTTTAATGTGCATATGCATTGCATATTGAACTGAAGCAAAAAACATAGAATTTAATTTTTGCAGTTTCCGTTAGTTTTTTACATTATACCATGATTGGTATCGTGCATTTAGACTAAAATGCTGCCTTTAATATGATTGCTGCTTATACACCATCTGTCCTGGGCATTATGCTTCATAACTGTTGTGAAACTCATATCCTGGCCTATTGTTGCACTTTAATTAGCAATATTATAAGAACTGGACCAGACTGCCCAGTTCAACCTGGAAAACTGTGAACCGGCCAAAAAACCCGCCCGGTCATCGTACATTAACCGGATAATTAAAAATCAGAAAATATCGATTGACCCAGCCGGTTTAATCGTAAACAGGAAAATCGGACACGGTTTTTAAATTATTGTGACATTTTTTAACAAAATATTTCAACTCATTTTGGGCCCACTTATTAGATTGGTATTGCCCATTTCTTATTTCTAGCCAAGTGATGCTCATTTTATAGGAGAATCCTCTTTCATAGCATTGTTGAACTTCTGATGCGGGATATGTAACTACAACTAACAATGTTAATATG